ATACAACTATCTTCTGGGGCTTTGGGGGGGAAAAAAAAGGAGGAGGATTGGCAATAGATGTTAGCTCAGAGCTGGTCTTCCTCAGCAAAAAAAAAAAAAAAAAAAAGATAAACCATAGAATAGTGGTAAGTTTGCCAGAATTCCATGAACAAGTCATAGTCAGAAGATGATATATCACTGATGTGTTTCCTGCAGTATGGAATCATAGGCTGGTAGAGCCAGAAAGAAGCCATCTAGTATAACCTCCTCATTTTGGAGATGAAGAGACTGAGGTTCAGGGTGGGGAAGTGACTTGTCCAAGGTTATACAGTGAGTCAGAGTATAGATCCCAAGTCTCCTACACATGAATCCACTGTTATTGTTTTCTTCAACTTCATTGCGCTGAGTTATGCTTAGTTCCTATATCCTTCGGTAATATTGCACCTGTCCGGTTCATTCATTCATTCACATTCAACAAAGATTCACTGAGCACTTTCTTTATGCTGGACACTGTTCTAAGTTCTGGAGATAGAGCTGTGACTAAGAGAGACAAAGTCCTCACCCTCATTCTAACTTGGGAGTGGAAGCGGGGGGCATAAACACAATAACTCTAGATGGGAATAAGTACTTCCCATCTCACTTAGGGCAAAAGCCACAGTCCTTACAATGTCTTACAAGGCCCTAGATGGCGTGGACACCACTCCCCCTCCCCATGACCTCTCTGACCACCTCTCCTTATTAAGGTCCATCTTAATCACTCCACTGCAGCCACACTGACCCTCAAACATGCCAGGCATTCTCCTTTCTCAGGGCCTTTGCACTTGCTGAGGTGCCTGAAACATTCTTCTCCCAGATATCTACACAGCTCACTCTTCACCTTCTTCAGATCTTTGCTCAACTATCATCTTCTAAGTAAAGCCTTCCCTGAGCACCCTCATTAAAATTGCAACTTCACAGCCACCCCAGCACTCCCTATCCTCCTTCCCTGCTTTCATTTGCTCCCTAGCACTTATACCATCTGATAGATTATATATTTTTATTTGTTTATTGGCTATCTCCCTCCCCTAGAATGTTAGCTCCAAGAGGGCAGGGATTTTTATCTGTTCACTATATCCCCACATGCCTAGAAAAGAGGCACATACATACTCAGTAAATATTTATGGAATTCACAAATGAATATAAAGAAAAGAAAGAAGAGCCAATGTGATAGAGAGTGGCTGGCTAGATTACTTTGGCCCAGGAAGTCCAGAAACATCAGACCTTAATGACAAAAACGAAGCAGCCACAGGAAGATCTGGAAGAAGAGGGTCCCAGGCACAGGGTACAAGAAGTGCAAAGACCCTGGGATGGGATGAGCTTGGCATGTTAGAGGAAAAGAAAAAAGGCCAGTGCCTGGAGCCCAGTGAGAAGGAAAGTGGCTTGAGATGGGGTTACAGAGAGAGCTAGGGGCCAGATCATGTTAGGGCCTGTTGTAGGCCATGGAAAGGAGAGCGGCTTACTTTTCTGGTTACAGTAGGAAACCTGTGGAGGATTTTAAGTAGAGAAGTGACAATCTGATTTATGACTTTTAAAAAAATCCCTCTGGCTATTTTTTGGAGAATGAGCTGAGTAGGGATAGGGTTAAAACTGGGAGACCAGTTAGTAGCCTTTCACAATAATCCAGCCAAGAAATGATGGTGGCTTGGACTAGGGAAGTAGCAGTGGAGGTAATAAGTGAACAGATTCAGAATATAATTTGAAGGTAGAGTCAGCAGGACCCGCTAATGGACTGAATGTTGGGAGTAAGGAAAATAGAAAAATCAAGGATAATTCCTACAATTTTGGCTTGAGCAACCAAGTGGCTCATGGTGCCATTTGGTGAGACAGAGAGAGGAACAAAGGTAGGGAGGAGAGTAGGGACAAGAATTCTGTTTGGGCTGTATGAGATTGAGAAGCCGTTGGACATTCAAGTGGAAAGATCACATAAGCAGTTGCATAGTTAAGTCTAGAATTCAGTGGGGAGGTCAGGGCTGGCAATATAAATTCTTAGTTTCACAGAATAGACAATAAAATCTCAACTTGATTCTGATTATCTGGAACTCTCAAATACCTAGAATTTTTCTGTGCCCTCTTCATCAAAACAACTTCCTAGATATATCCAGAAGGGTTGCTATGCATTTAACCTAGACACTTAAAAACTGATACTTGGAATGATGGCCCTGATAAACCCAAATGGGCCCAATCATCAAAAAAATAAGTTCACATATGTGCAGTATACAAGACTTCCTAAGGTAGGAAAGTACATTCAGACACTTTAGAATAACCAGAATGGATAATAAAATTTAGGGGATATTCTGGTTAACCAATTCCATCAGATAATTCAACTAATGGGATCTCCCTCGTATTCAAGGTAACTGAGGTTTTACTAAATTTTTTTCTAGAACGCTTAGCCCAAGGGTAGTCCAGAAAGAGTTCCCTCCTCTTGGTCCTTTCTGATTACACAGGTATAAAACACATATCAAACACACACATTATTTCATTTGGTCCTCTTGTGAGAAAGTAGTCTCATCCCCATTGTACATACATATGAGGATACAGAGTCAGAGAAGTTAGAAGTAACTTGCCAGTGTTCACTGAGCTCTAAGTAGCAAAGCTAAGACTCAAACGCAGTTTTTATGACTCCAAACGAGTCCAGTGCTCTTTTTTACTACTTGCTGCCTCCCTAGCTGTGGGTCTTTTAAAAACTTCTTTTTCGGTATCATTTCTACATCCTTAGGCCAAATTTCAGTCACTGATGTCTCCTGGAACTCAGGGAAGTGCCTCAGCGCTCTCCTGATTTTCACAGGAAGTAACTAATTCCTAAGACCAGCGCCTTCCTTTCTAGCATTCCTTTAGCTGGCGGCCTCATTCAATTTTTTCGTAACATCTACAACCAGAGAGTTGTAGGGGTCCTTAGAACTCACCCACAGCCTAATT